AGAGTGTGCCAAAAATCTGATAGGCGCTCTGTTATATTTCGAACTGAAAAATAAAGCAACCAGGCAGAAGACGCCTATACCATCAATAATTTTTTTAAAAAACTTTAACTGTCAGTACACGTTAGCGTGCACACTAACAAAGTACACGATTTACACTCAGTACACGATTTTGTCTCACACCGATTTGACAACCGAATACTGCACTGATTTTCACTAAAATAGGAAATAAACGTTTTTCATAAATTACTATTATTAGTAGGAACAGGAACGCGACTTGCTATTTCTTAACGTGTCTAATAATTCAATTTTCAAATGGATTGAACAGAATTTACTTCGGAACGGACCGGAAGCCCGGACGCTAATCTAATATACCCCCGATACAACGTCACCATGGCTCATACAATTGCTTCATCAGAAGCTCACCATTCGGAATCACATTCGAAAATAAACGCCGAATCGGGACTGCGGAAGAGGAACGAGCTTTTAAGCGTCACGTGCAACTTTTAAAAACCAAGCGGGCGCGGAGTGCCGCGGCCGCCGCGCTCTGTCCATTTCATTTTCATAATGCGCGCGCGCCCTCCGGCGGGCGGCTCTCACCCGTTCAGTATAAATAAACGCATCTGTTTGGATGCTGTTTTAACACTCCTGTAGATCTTTTTTAAGCTTTGCTCGTGCTACGCACGGACAGATATTGTTTTAAAGTTTAAATATTTATCGCTGATTTTTTGAGTTCGTATGTGTCATAATAATGTGTATTTATCCTATGAAACACATTTATTGTGACATGGAGTAGATATAATTTGGAGTTAAGCGGATATTAATATGTGTATAAAAAAAGATTATCCAAACGAGTTAAATTGCTGTCTCTTGATCGATGATTTTATCGACATTGGTTAATATTAGTGAATACCCACATACGCAAATGGGCTACAATTTTATTTATTTCAGGTTATCCTATTAGGCGCATATAATAACAAGACACAATTCGGTATCTTAAACAGGAAACCATTACTTGTAGATATATAAGTCTTAGAGATAGAATATCCCTGACAAACATATAAAATCATTGCAGATTTAATATTATTCGTTTATGATCGCGACAGACGTGTAATATCACAAAATTTCTGTGAATTAAAAGAATCTCGTATTCTTAATAAGTTTTTATAAGTAAAAAATCTTATCACATCCTGATGTATTATGTAGAATATAAAAAGTTTCTCTATTGTATAAATATATGTAAACGACATCACACACAAATTTATTTCGAAACGATAAGAACTCTCATATAAGATACCTACACTCCGACACCCACTCGTGATGTTTTCTTTAATCTTCCACAAGATATCCGATCTACTGCGAACACTTCTAACTGTTGAAATATCGAATTTCATGAATTCAGTTAAATAAATTACACGAAAAAGGTTACTGCGCATCGAAGAAACGAGATTTGCACGAATCATTTTCGTTTAAAAGACTTCAATCGATTTACGATAGCAGCAGCGCGTCCACACAGATACTCCACGAGAAGCATCAGAAACGCTGGTTCAAAGCGACGGCCGTCCTGGCATATGTCAGCCGCCGGGACGTTTATCGCATAAACATTTTTATGGCTATTTAATTACAGACGGACTCGCGGCCTTGCATGTATGCAACTGTTACGTTTCGTATAGTTTATAGAGCTTTATAGACATTATTTATGAGGCTGTTTTAGTCGAACGTTTGTTCGAGAGTTGAGAAGGTAACGGGTTCGAGTCTCGACTGCTTGCGAATCGATCGATGACTTGTCGAGCACGATCTTCCGCTCCATGTTACGGAGATTTATTAAGCCTCCGGTCCCGGACGTTGGCGATGTGTCAGTTATATCGGGGGTTGTGGTTTTCGAACTCACTAGACCTCTCTCGTATCACGTTTAAATCACCCCCCTCTTGGACTTTAAGCGCTAGTCCAGAAAGGGTCGGGGCCGCTAAGGTCCGTCGTCATCGATGCTATGACCACGTCTCAAACCGACGGCTTAAGGCGTTCACCGAGGCACGGAACATTTGGTATGATTTGACTTAACTGAAAAAGTCATTGGTGGATTCGCACGTAGTAAACATCGCACCCGGTACCTTCTGGTTCGAAGGCAGCACACCTCACCACTGAACCAACACCATCACTAAGCCTTGGACAGAACGATTATGGTTCAAGCCCCTAGTACAAAAAAACAGAATTGTACAAACACATCTATGCGTAATTGACGCAGTCGGTAGTGACTCTACTTACTACTCTGGGAGCGTGGGTTCGATTTCCACACAATAAAACATTTACAATTTGATTGATAATTAATGTTTGTTTTAAGTATGAGTTTACTATCTATCCATATGCATATATTTACAAATATATATATATATATATATATATTAAATCGACTATCTGGTACCCATAGTACAAGCTTCGTTGATTAATTTATATCAAAATATTTTATTATTAATAAATATAAACGAGGACAAATTGTCTCTTAATTATAACTAAATTGTTTATCTCTCATATATATTAAATAAAAATTAAATAACGTCGTTTATTGCAACAAAAAATAATCTGTTATACAAACTCCCTTCATTTGTACAGAAAGGAAGGATGCGTTGCGGAAATTACTTGTACCTAGTGAATTAAATAATTTGTCATTTATAAAGCCGTATAAGAAATACTATATTGCTACAATTGATGGATATCAGTAAAACAAGACAGATATACAATCATCGCAGCATGTAGAAAACTATAGTCTCCGCCTACCCTTTTGGGGAATCGGCGTGAGTTTATATTATTATTATTATATTGCACCTATTGCGCAAATAATATCTTGTGTAACGAAAACGAAAATGCTGAATTCGCTAATACACTTTTGTAATCCCTGATTTAGTTGACATTTAACTCGTTAAAAAAATAAAATTGTTGTAATTTTTTTGACAATGAAATTCAAATAATATAGTAATAAAATCGTATTTTCAAATTTTATATATGATTTTTGTATGTAATGCCAATGAGGTATTCGAATCGAATACCTTCAACAAAATTTTCAATTTTGTAAAAGGTACAAATATCGTTTATATAAAAAAAAATATTTAAAGGAATAAAGAAAATACACTTTATTACTTTGAACAAGACCTTTTTCTTATTTTGATACTATTAAAATGCAAAATGAACACGGCCAAAGCCTCAAAAAAATAAGAAAACACTGTTTTCGTTGTTTAGCCAAAATCAATATCTACGTATATAGGCCGTGATGAATCTCGTATGTACTCTGGCATAATTTTTGTTACTTATCCAAATCTACCAAATGCAGTACAAATCGAAACTCGATTCTCACCCGTAACTGCGTTTATGTGTAAAATATCCGCTCCACGCCGGAGCGGTCCTGAGGCGCGAGACGGTAACGTATTGAATAAATTCCTGAAACGTATGGAGACCAATAATTTCGCGAGTATAGAGCACCTTCGCCCAAACTTATGCGCTCTATAAGTTGACTAACCTCAGGGGAAATAAGGGGATGCGGAGGATGTGCTTGAAAGCGTACGCGAAATGTGGCCTCAAGTTTTATTCTTTTCTTACTTCGACGCGACTTTCAATAAAGCTATTTTGTTTACATTTTCATACCTTCAGGCGGCGCGCCGGCGAAGTTCGTGAGATCTCGGCGCGGGCGATTTTTCATGGCGTCGGAATAAATTACGTTAGAATTTATGTTACTCTTTCCTCGGACGCTCTGAAAATTAGATCAAAGTATGTCAGGATGTCTTCTTTTAAAAAGGGGTAAATTAATAATAATCAAACGGGTCGCAGATCAAATTACATGGTGAGTTGGAATTTGATTTAGTGAAGCTTTAGTGTTTCGCAGTAAAAGGAATGTCTAAGGAATCGAAGATAGCTTTAAAAGTAGAGCTATGTAATAAGGAAATTCATCTAAAAATTATATTAGGCACTTTCAAGGAAGCACTTTTTTCGGTAATTTTAGAAATTCTGTGCTCCTTATAAGTCGGTAGAGTTTATCAGAAGGGAAATATTTATTTCTTATAGCATTTCCAAGAAAAAAATATTGATTTCCTATTTAAAAATAACAAGGAAGTCATTAATTGTTTTCTTAAATTCAACGATTATTAGTTTGAAAAATTTGCATGAATTATAAGCCCAAAGCAAGCTAAATCATACTAAAAGTTGAAATCCATTTAATTAAATAATAAATTACATGCATGGACACCTTGTGTTAGTTATTCAGAATAAACAGTTTTTGTTAAAACATTCAAACCTTCAGATAACACTGAACTCATTTAGCACCAAGCTGCATATTATAAAGTTTTTGAAAGGAAGTTTCTTATCTCAAGTTACACTCCAGACGTTTGGCGAATCAGAGCTGCGCTGAAAAACTGGTCAAGTGCTTGTTGGGCTCGCACAGAAAGGGTTTCGTACCAGCAGACAATAACAGCACTACATACTTTTAAAAATAGCTAATGAAAAATAAGAATAAATATTAAAATTGAATAAAAGACGCCGAAAAAACACATATATAGTGGAGGCCCCTTTTAATTACTAATTATATTTTTATTATTTATGTAAATAACAACAATAGTAATACACTATATGTAAACATTTTAAGCGTTTATTTATTACCATTATTAAAATGAAGCAATGAATGTTCAAAAAAAAAATAAAACACGTTTCTTGTGTGAACCCAACTGATTTTTAATTCATTTTATTTTTACTATTTATTCTTATAGCGATAAAAGATATAAATACTATGAAAACTCTAATTGTCCACTTACGGTTCATGAGCACATGCGATACAGCCTTCTTACAAACAGAGAGCCACATGTACATACAGACGGACAAACAAACGGACAGATAGACGAACAACATGAGTTTAGTTGATTCCTCATTCCACTTTGGGTACGAAACCCTAAAAACGTGTTTGAAACGACACTTATGCTATAGTTAGCATTTTCAAAGCTCCTCTTAGTCACGCTTTTTATGCCGTCATACTACGTCAAAAATACACCGGTTTCGATTCGATTTACGAAGTTAAGCAGCTTCGGGCGCCGTCAGTAGTTGGATGGGTGACCTTCTGGGAATACAGCTTATTGGCTGTTTGCTGTAACGTATTTTTTTTTGCAATAACTAATTAAAAATAAAATAAAAAAGGGATATTAAATTTATTTTATTTAACATTTATAACTTTTTTTTCATATTTCTCATTTAATTTCTGTCAAATGTACTTATTTTATTTCATTGTGCCTGTCATTAAATACATAATATGTAGCAAAAGTAACTTCGTTCCAACAAAGTGTCCCACGACACCTCTCATGTTATTTTATTTTTTTTAATTTTGAAGTACTGAACACGTTTGCAACAGCGGCCAATGTCACGTATGTTCTTATTAAAATAAAATCAAATTAATTACCGATGAATATCAATTAATAAAAAATAAATAACTCAACTATTTTAACTGAACAGTCAAATGAAGCGTTTTCACCTAATTAATTATAAATAAACTGTTATCATATATCATCCACGTAATACCTAACCAAGTATATCATTGGTATTTCACATAATTATCTAAATGAAAGTACATAATTACCACTCATTATTCAATTCGTAAAATCAATTTTAATGATATCCGATAATACAAATCATGTTATTAATAATATATTGTCCCTATATCAAGATGTGAACAAAACATGATAACACAATACGTGTACTGAAATATAAATGAATTTATCTACTCTATTTTATTAATTAACAAAAACTCAATTTTAGTATTTTCGAATGATCTAGGAATTTTTATGAATGATCTAGGCTTTCTTTTAGACAACGACACATCCATAAAAATTTATGTGAACCGAAACCCGTCTTTCTTCCAATGATTTTCTTTTATTTACTTTGTTTTTATATCCTCACAGAAAACACGTAAACCGAACGAAAGACGTCCGAAACAAAGGACTTTATATAATAATTATTATTATTTTCATTGGCACGAACTCATCCAAAGCAATTAATACACTGCGATTATGTGAACTCGAAGTAAATTTTAGTATTTTTTTTTGTAGACCTAAGGTCCCATCTCAATAATAATAACTCTATCATTTTAAACGAAATTTAATTATAGTCATTATAATGTTGATTATTTTATATTTACTTATCTCTCTAACAAAATGATTTTATTAAAAAAAAAATCTTTTGCTCCAATCTCGTTTAACCTAATTATTTTAAGATTAAACGAAATAAAATAACACATAACACCACTATACTATCTACATATGTGCTGTGTCGCTATTAAATACACTAAATGCAAAAAAATGCGTTATTCCCAATATCGGCAATAAAGTAAATGTTAAATGTAGTGTGGTGCTCAATGACTGAAGACCTTTATTTTGTTACATTATCCAATATTTCAGGGGTTAAACTTATATAAGCCCTATAAAAGCTTTTGCTGAAAATATTATTAGATCAAATGGTATTTCAGAAAATTTGTTTCGTTAGGAACATAATGCATATAATTAACTACCAAATATTCTTCAGAAAGTGTACAGTTGTTACTACAATACCGTCTGGTTTATTACACCGCATCCAGTGCTATGAAACATCGATAAGGCCAATCTTTCAGCGATACAGATAAGCGGTTTTTGATGCAGTTTTATGTAACATTTGCTTCTATAAATTTCATATATTTCTCTGGTTTTATATTTCTTAAAATAAGTGAATACTTTATTTAATATGTGAATCATCATATAACATATGAGTCAAATGTTTTGTTAAACTTCTTATGTATCGAAGACTTAAATTTAGTAGATTAAAGAGGTTATATCTGATAGAAAATGCCTTGAGCGAATAAATTTATCTCGAACGAATAAATACATAAATAATTTTATATATTTTTGATATCTTTCGAGCGAACCCATCGATTTTGATGCAGTTTGCATGAATCAACTTGTTTTTTATCGATAGGATAGTTTAAGAAATAAATTGAAAATACATTTTATGATTTTTTTTTACCACACAGAGAGAGAGAGGGAGAGACAGAGACACATATGCATAATAACATACATTATTGAGATAATTACAGACATTATTAGGAAAATGGTCGAAATAAATTTCTAGGAGTCTAAAACCTCAAAATCTGATAAAAGTTCTATTTTCAGAAATATGCTGAAAACAGTATCTTGCCAAATTATGAAAATTTGAAAAATTTGTATTTAAAGAGGAGACAATGATGACCAAGTTCCAAATATGAATTCCTTAAATGAAATGACGTTATTTGAAAAAAAATTTTTTTCGATTTTTTTTCTCTAATAGTATCTCTCCAATGAACCAACCTATTTTGTTGCAGCTTACGACGATCCACGTTGTTTAATAAGAAGAAGAATGATTAGATTTTAAAAGTTATCAGTACAGTACCTACCTAGTTTAAAAAATATTTTAATATTATTTGATAAAAATATCTCTTAAAATTAAATGAATCAATTTTGATAAATTTATCAATAATCGACGTTGATTTTTAAGGGGGACAACTGGATAATTTTTAATATCTATCGGTGGAGGAATTTACAATATGTATTAACGTACACTCTTTTTTAATTTTTCTCTTTGGACAAAATATCTGATTAGATGATTGAATTTGGGTATCTGTTATATTTTGATATCTGTTATATTCTCGCCACAGTGAGCAGCATCCGTGTTCTTCCTTTAGCAGTGTTCTTTTTTTTTACGTATGTAGTTTTTTATGAGAGGAAGAAAAAATTTCGCAGCCAGCACGACTCGCCCTCTTGCCGTTCTTTACGGGAGCGGAGTTCGCCCGGATGTTTATGCGGTCCTCAAACTTTTTAGTGCAGATTGCCTCATCGGTAGTGTCCCGCCAACTAGCGAACTCCGGCCGAGTGTTTGCCGTGGGAGGCGTTCCCGCTCAGAGTTTCCGCTGGCAGACGTCTCGACGGTAATGTTTATTTCAAAGTTGCAGTATTTAATTTACGTTTTCGGTCCAAATGTTATTTGCTAAGGTTTAATGTTAACTTTTACTTAGTTACGTACGAATTATGTCAACAATAACATATTTTAAACATTGTGATTATGCGTTTGCTCTAAAGTTTTGTTTACCGGTAATTCAGAAAAGTTACTTGCGTGCGAGTTATGTATATGTACGAAATAAAACTAAATTTAAAAAAAATAATATAATAAAATAAACTATGGAAAACATGATCGCTGTGCATGAAAATGTTTATCTACGAAAGAGGCGAAGGAATTAATCAAGATTATGAATATCAAACGCATTTCAAAATTTAATGTTATCAGAACATGTGATGTTTATCTGTTTTCTATCTATCAATATAAGACCTAGTCTACCTGGACGTATGATATCTAGACAGCCTAGATCTACACAGCTCCAGTTTAACAGAACATTCTGCTTTTTCTTTAGTTGAATGGATTTGCATAAATAGAATGAAAATAAAAACGGATCTGGGAAGCGTTTTTATTTTCATTTTATTTATACTGGGCAATAACAAATTTTCATATTTCTGGAGAAAAGTACTTACTAAATATAATAAATGCGTCGTCGTACCCAACCAGAGAATATATTAAACAACTGTTTTAATTTGATATCAATTCCGCAGAAAAAGTCACAGATTAAGTTACTTTAAACTTTTAAATTGCTGAATTCTCTTGAATTAACAAGAATTTAAAAAGGCTATACAGCACATCAATGTGTTTATCTTTTGGTATAAACGAATCTATAGAGCTTAATGAAAGATGTTCAATTTCGTTTAAAAGAAATTTAGTTTAAAATAATTTAAAAGAAATATATAACCAGCTCCATAGGTGAGAAATATCGTTCATGTTCTTTGGAATACTTTTAGTGTGAGAGAATAGCTGCCAGTCAGACATTTTTTTTAACTGAGGTATCTCTCGTAATAAATCGACCACTATTCATTTAATATTTATCTTCCAGTATTTCAAGAATAACGAGAAAGTTCTAAGTGTATAAGGAAACTTCTGTGATAGCATCTCTACACAGTAGACAATAAAAAAAAAATTCGGGCAAATGCAAGTAGAACTTGCGTGAAGGGGGTTCTGTACGATGAATGTGTTTTCGATACGTTTTTCCGAATCTGACCTAAACTTGTTTTTCAACTCCAAAGAATTGCTAATGTAAATTTGTACGCACACTATTGAGACGTTTACCGTGTTATTTTAAATCCATAAAATTTTAAAAATTATTCTCGTAATCAATAAGCAGAGAATGATTTTCCGTTTCTTTTTGCAAAGTTTTATGCTCAAGAGTTTCGGAGATAGGGAAAATGGTCAATTTTGATCTATTATCTTAAATAATTAAAACTATTTATTTTATAATTATAAAAGGAAACAATGTTTGAGCGCCTTATAATTTGATGTTACATGCTGCAGTTTACAAAACTTCTTTTTTTAAAACGATTAATTTCGTTATATATCGGTTTGTGAGTCACAGAAATTCATATTTATATCAACTAAAAGAAAATTCAGGTTGTAACAGACAAACATAATAGTGATCCTATAAAGATTAAGTTTTTTTTTATTCAGACGTACGGAACCCTATAAATAAATACAATACACCAAAACAGTTTAAAGGGAATACAGAAAGGATAGTGGTTGCGTGAATACTAAAACCAAACTATCGTTCGCAACGTATTTACCTGCTGTGCCACAGCAAAGGGCAGGGTCATTAGTTTGACATGTATCTGGGTGTATAAGTGGGATAATTTATATCATCAAAACAACCCTAAGTGAATTTCGATAAATATGGTGTCTTTTGATTTATTTAAGTTGTTCAATGGTTATAAGCTGTGTTTCGTCTTGGTGGCCGTAAAATACAAAATACAAAAAAAAAACTTACAAATTTGGATGACATATTGAAAATAGGTCTTTCAAAATCTTCGAAAGATCTATTCAATATGTGGAGTTATGTTGTGGCCAACGTGGCAATGCAGTATGAAAATGGGCTGAATCGATCGGTTAGTCACCACAAAATGTTGACAAGAAGTAGCAGCTTTTGCTGTTGCGTTTCATCCAGTGCTTTTGGCATGAATCACTTTTGTTGGGTTCGGCTTA